CCATAGCTAACCATAGCTAACCATAGCTACCCATAGCTACCCATAGCTCACCATAGCTACCCATAGCTAACCATAGCTCACCATAGCTCACCATAGCTCACCATAGCTAACCATAGCTAACCATAGCTNTAGCTACCCATAGCTCACCATAGCTACCCATAGCTAACCATAGCTCACCATAGCTCACCATAGCTCACCATAGCTAACCATAGCTAACCATAGCTCACCATAGCTCACCATAGCTACCCATAGCTACCCATAGCTAACCATAGCTACCCATAGCTACCCATAGCTCACCATAGCTAACCATAACTAACCATAGCTAACCATAGCTACCCATAGCTAACCATAGCTACCCATAGGTCACCATAGCTACCCATAGCTAACCATAGCTCACCATAGCTACCCATAGCTCACCATAGCTACCCATAGCTACCCATAGCTAACCATAGCTAACCATAGCTAACCATAGCTACCCATAGCTACCCATAGCTCACCATAGCTCACCATAGCTCACCATAGCTACCCATAGCTCACTATAGCTAACCATAGCTCACCATAGCTACCCATAGCTCACCATAGCTAACCATAGCTAACCATAGCTAACCATAGCTAACCATAGCTCACCATAGCTNATCTAATCTAATCAGATAGAAGCGATCAATACAGTTCGATCTAATCTAATCAGATAGAAGCGATCAATACAGTTCGATCTCATGTCATGAAATGCGTCGGCAGAGTTTCTGTCCATGAAAGCTGTTTGATAAAAGCCAACTTTACACCCGATGAGGCTGATGCAGATCCTTCAGAGGAGCTCTCTGTGTTCTGGTGTTGACCCGGTCTGTTGGTTCTGTCACCTGGTTCTAAACCTTGTTCCTGTCTGTCTGCAGCTCTGCAGTCGGAGGATGCTGACGACCGACTGTGCGCCTTCACCGACGGCCTGCAGGGGGCGGAGCCTGCTCCCACCAATGAGCTGCGAGGAGTGGTGCAGGAGAACGGCACGATTCGCTGCAGCCGCGGCTCCCGCTGCTATGGATTGTGGGAGAAAAGAGCCGACGGGGAAATGCAGCTGTTGAACCAAGGTGAGCTCAGCAGGTTTGATGGATCTGAGTCCCTGCTTACCGTCTCATGGACAGCTTGGACTTGTTTTGTGTTGTTTCGGACAGTTTCATCAGTACGACACATTTCTGACTCTGATCTTGGTGTGAAGGTGACATTCATGATGTGTGCTTTCAGCGGTTTTTAAACAGCAGGACTCCATCCAGTCTTTTCTTTAAGTTCTACATTCATAGGAGTTGATTCATGTTGATAACTGACTCCTCCAACTTTGTTTTCTCTAGTTTTGATTCCAGACATTGCTTTTTTGTTCTTAATGTAATGCTCATACATGATGTGTTGGACCCGTGTCCGTGCAGGCTGTTGGACTCATGTCGGCCACCAGCAGGAGTGTCATGGCGACCGCTGCGTCCTTGTTGCTGTGGCGCCGTCTCAGGTGCAGAAGGCCAACTATCGTTTCTGCTGCTGCAGCCGCGACCTCTGCAACGCCAACTTCACCGAGGCCCCGCCCACCGCCGACACCCCCGCCCTGCAGCCGATGAAGACAGACGGCCGGGACGACGGGCAGACAGGTGAGTGGACAGGTGTTGGCCGTTCGCTACGTAACTGAACACGGTTCCGTCTGCGACTCAGAAAATAACACAATAAGCGGAAAAGCTAAATTCTGCTCAGTCCAAACGTTCACACAGCCTCTGATATACGCAAGAATAACGTTTGGGAGTTTTACATATTTTTGGACATAAACAGAAAAAATGAGAACTTCTAAAAAACTAACCGTAAACTACTCCCAAAGGAAAACGTTTTATAACTAATATATTCAGACTTTATCTGTCACTGCATTGATCAGCAGTCGACCAATCAGCAGCCAGTGAGTTCTAAATGACCCTGCACCACTAATCACTGACGCCCTTTGTGCTACAGCAGTAACCAGTGAGAGGCTCCACCTGGTGGAACAACCAGGCACTGCAGCTGGTCTATGATAGCTGAAGTTTTATCGAAGATGAGCATCAGCAGATATTAAATATTAAATGACTCGGACCAAATTAGGAGCAACAAACCCGGACATCTTCAAATGTACACACCTGAATAAGACAAACCAGGATGAAGGGAGGCTCTCACCCTGATGCACGTCAGACCCCCAGGTCCTCAACACAGGGATGTGGTTGCCCCCGCCGACCATGGTACGGCAGTGTTGATTCAGAGGAGAGGCCGTTCCTAGCTCACCTGTAAGGCCTCACCTGGTTGGACCTCAGCTGGAGCTCCAGGCTGTTCTCAGACGGGACTGATTATTCTGTCGTCTGGTCAATAACATGGAGGACAACATCAGGTCTGTCAGCTGGAGGTGACAGCGACAGACATTTTACCCAATGATGTCACTAAGGTCACATGACGTCGTCCTTTAAAGACGAAGACGGATCGCCTTTCTGATGCTGCAGGAGGCCACATGGAAGCTGTATCGATCGGAGCTCTGTGTCCTCACTAGTGCTGCAAGGAACCTTTATTTTCTTTATTCATCAGTCGGGTTTGTTCTAGAGCTGCAATTGATGATGATTTTAACTATTGATTATTTATTGATCGATCAGTTATTTGTCTGAGGCTTCAGGTGAACCGTGTGTTGGCAACAGTCCTCACAAAGGTAGCAGGATGAACGTGTGTGTCAAACCCACCTCAACCTCTGACTGATGACGTCACAGTGATACTAACGATGACGTCATCGTCCCACAGATCACCAGCTGACGCCGGAGGAGACCGCGCTCGTCGCCCTGGTAACCGTCGCCATAGCAGCCATCCTCATCGGGGCGCTGTTCCTGGGATACCGCGTGATGAAAAGTACGCACACACACTAACGGAGCATGTGATCAATAATAATCTAATGATCACTGATCAATAATCGTGTTTGTGTTCAGGGAAACAGAAACACAGTGTGTCTGCTGTGGATGTGATGGAGGCAGCAAACAGCCAATCAGCTGTCGACCTGGACAGCCTCAAACTGATGGAGGTACCGCACACACGCACACACACACACACAC